TTTACCCATTCACCTATCAGTGGACACTTAGGTTGGTTCCATATCTTGGCTATTGTAAATAATGCTGCAATGAACACAGGGGTGCATATGTCTTTTTGATTTAGTGTTTATATATTCTTTGGATAAATACCCAGAAATGGAGTAGCTGGATCATATGGTAGTTCTATTTTTAATTTTTTGAGGAACCTCCATACTCTTTTCCATAGTGGCTATACCAACTTACAATAGTTAATGAGGCTTCCCTTTTCTCCACATCCTTACCAACACTTGTTATATCTTGTCTTTTGGATAATAGCCATTTTAACAGGTGTGAGGTGATAATCTCATTGTGGTTTTCATTTGCATTTCCCTGATGATTAGTGATGTTGAGCATGTTTTCATGTGCCTGTTGGCCATCTGTATGTCTATTCAGATCTTATGCCCATTTTTTAATTGGGTGTTTTGTTTTTTGTTCTTGAGTTGTATGAGTTTTTTAATTTATTTTGGATATTAATTGCTTATTGCATATATTATTTGCAAATATCTTATCCCACCCAGGAGGCTGCCTTTTACTTTTGTTGATAATTTCCTTTGCTGTGCAGCTTTTTGGTTTGATGTTGTCCCACTTGTTTCTTTTTGCTTTTGTTTCCATTGTCTTTGGAGTCAGATCCAAAAAATTATCTCTAAGACAAATGTCAAGGAAATTACTGCGTGTGTTTTCTTCCAATAGTTTTATGGCTTCAGATCTTACACTCAAGTTTTTAATGCGTTTTGAGTTAATTTTTGTATATGGTGGAAGAGAGTGGCTGAGTTTCAGCTTTTATATGTGTCTGTCCAGTTTTCCCAACACCAATTATGTCTTCCAGTTTTCCCAACACCAATTATGTCTTCATTGTATATTCTTGGCTCCTTTGTCATAACTTAATTGACCATATTCATGTGAATTTATTTCTGGGCTTTCTTTTCTGTGGATCTATATGTCTCACTTTATGCCAAAAATACTGTTTTAATTTTTTTATTAAGGTATCATAAATACACACTCTTATGAAGGTTTCACATGAAAAACAATGTGGTTACTACATTCACCCATATTATCAAGTAACCCCCATACCTCATTGAAGTCACTGTCCATCAGTGTAGTAAGATGCCACATATTCACTACTTGTCTTCTCTGTGTTACACTGTCTTCCCCATGACCCACCCCGCCACCATGTGTACTAATCATAATACCCCTCAATC